TCTTTCCCTCTTTCACTTCTTCATTTATTTGTTTGCCTAGATCTGTCCACTTCCTGTACTTCTCTGAAGTCTGTCTGCCCTTCTCCACTGCTACCATTCCTATCCTATTCAAGGCCACCACTGTTGCTCAACTTCTGTCAAGAACTCCTAACACTGGTCTTCCTGCTTGCACTCTTGCCCCCTACAGTCCATTTTGCACGCATGTTGTCTTTTAAAACAAATCTGATTTACTTCTCTACTTAAAATTTACCATGACTTACCATGACCCTACAAGGTCTGGCCCTGCCTCCCTTCTCCCACCTCTCACTCTACTCGATAACCATTCACAATGATCCAGCCAGGTGATCTCTCTCGTTTCTCAAACATGCCCAACACAGGGCCTTTGCACTCGTTCTCCGCTCAAAATGCTATGTCTCTGACTCTACACATAGGTGGTTTTCTCATCTTACAGGCCTCAGTTGAAATGTTACCTCATAAACAGGTGTCCCCTGACAACCCTCTCTAGAGAGGCTTCCTCCTACGTCCTCTTGTTTATATATTTGTTTATTGTCTATCTCCTCAAGTAGAAGACACCTTATCTGCTTGTTCATTATAGTAATCCTAATAAAATTGCCTGGCAAACATTTGACACTCAAGAAACATTTGTTGAATGAGTGAATAAGTATGTTCCACAAGACCCTGGGAGATCTGTTGCCCCTGCTGGCCTCTCTGCCCCAACTCCAGCCACACCAGCCATTCATGTCTCAAACATACCATGCTCTCTGCCTGAACCTATACACATTCTGCCTGTACACTCTACTTAGAATGTTCCCCTTCACCTCTCTGCCTAGTTAATTCAGGGCTCCACTTAAAAGATCACTTCTTCCAAGAGATCATTCTCTGATCCCCTGACAAAAAATTTCCATGCCATTTGTTTCTTCAGCAGCCTAGATGCCTTCACACTCAATTTTGTTTCTTCCACATTAGGCTTTACTAGGCTGTAAGTTCCACTAGGACAAATATGTCTCTCTGGCTCATTGTTTTAATCCCAGGGCCTCACCTAGAAGCCTGGACCAGTGCAGCATTTATTAACTGGTGCTAACTGTGGAGACTGGGCATGTACCCAAAGAGGTCGCCACCACAGAGCCGTCCAGGCCAAGTGCTGAATTAATAGTATGGTCCAGTTGTAAAGAAGTTCAGTCTGAGGATGGTCACAGGTGGGGAAATGAGGAAGGATTTAGGCAAACAAGGAGGAGACAGGAAGGCTTCCTGCACATGTGTAAATTCCTTGAGACAGATAAGCATCATTGGAGTGCAGAATTCCTGATTCACACTGTGGAGGTACCTGAAGGCCTGGCCTCACTCTTTTGCTCTGGACCCAAGTTCAACCACCTTCTGAGAGTCTTCACCAGCTGATCCCATAGTAACAACATACCAAAACGAAGTTGTCATTCTCCTGTATCCTCACATTTCCTCAAAGTTCTCCATTTTGGTTAAAGGTGTTTTGAGGGTCTCTCTCTTTACCCCAAACACCTCAATAGGTTTGCTTCTAAGGTTATATCCAGACTCCATACTCCTGAGTGATCAACTTAAAATACAAGTCTGTTGCAACAATTCCCCTTGAGACTCTTCATGGCTTATAGTGTTTAAGCCCATGAACTTGTCAGCACATCTTTAGTCCTGTGTGGTCTGATCTGCTTACTTGCTGCTGCTTCCCCACCCATTCCTATGTTTCAGTCAGTCCTCAGACTGAGCCATACTTCTGAAATTTGCTATTTGGGATGTCTAGTGCCTTCCTGGCTTACCTTGACCTGGTTCTCACTAAAGACTTTCTCCACCAACTCTTCCATCGTTTGATCCCTTCTCCTGGCTACCTCTGTCCCCTATGTATATACCTCTCATTTTTATCACACGGTTTGACAACTATTTTCTTACAGGTCTGTTTACTCCACAAATTGTGAACTTCTTGAGGAAGCACAACTGTCTTACTTCATTTTTGCATCCCAGCACAGCTGCACCATAAGAATTCCTACGGAGCACTGTAAGAATAACAGCTAAGATTTGCCAGGCACTTACGCCGAGGTAAGAGTTTCATGTGCACTGATTTGTCAATCCTTACAGCAACCTAATGAGATAGGTACTATCATTATACACAGTGACAAGAGAAGAAACTGAGGCAACAGAGCTCATTTGCCCAAATTCATTTGTCAAGTCCACAGATTTAAATTTAGATCTGAATCCTAATCTTAACCACTTAGTATTATCTCCTCAGTAAATGTTTGCTAAAGATTAAAAAGCCAATGATGGTCTCAGTTGTATGAGTTAAGGCTTTCTCCGTTTAATCTTATCTTCTGAGGGAAGAGGGCTGTTGTACACCCGTTTCAAGACTCCAGACACAGAGTAACCAGGATGGAAGCGCCAGTCTAGGCATCTACAGCGGCTGGGAGGCTGGGAAAGGACTCTTCCTCAAGAAGGTAAAAGGGTACAGTGAGAGCAGGAGGATATGGGCACATCCAGGGAAGTAGCACTGGGTCGGGAAAAGGGTCTGGCCGGTGCCAGGCAGGCGGTCTGAGGTGGGGGGTCCAGCGTGGGTTCCGGAAACAGGAAAGGGGAGCAGGTGTGGGATCTAAAATAGGATGAGGGCGGAGAAGACGCTCCGCTCAGAAGGGCACAGCTCGGTCTCCGCCCTCAGCAGAAGACCCTCATCTCGGGTGTTTGTTGGTTCGCAGGCCTGGAGTGGGCTAAGACCCGTCCAGAAACAGGAGAAACAGAGGCTTGGGCGAGCCCCTTCGGCTCCATGGGTGTTTTGCCCTGAAGTGCTAACTGCGCCCCACTTTAACTCTGGCCTCTTCACAGAAGTGGCTGCACGCTTCAGGGTAAACGCCGGGGTGGGGGGGGGGCTGAA